CAGGGAATTGGGAATGACTGGGGGAATTGGGAATGACGACGGGGAATTGGGAATGACTGGGGGAGTTGGGAATGACTGGGGGAATTGGGAATGACGACGGGGAATTGGGAATGACTGGGGGAATTGGGAATGACGACGGGGAATTGGGAATGACTGGGGGAATTGGGAATGACTGGGGGAATTGGGAATGACGACAGGGAATTGGGAATGACTGGGGGAATTGGGAATGACGACGGGGAATTGGGAATGACTGGGGGAGTTGGGAATGACTGGGGGAATTGGGAATGACTGGGGGAATTGGCCGGATTCCAGGGCAGATATTCCTGATTGTGCTTTTCTTGTCCTGCGTGCTCGCGGGTTTCCTGATTGGCTTATTTCACACTTCCCTTAAATGGCGTCCGGGTCCCCCTTCCCGTGGGTGCCACCCACCAAATCTGAGAGTTGGGGGTTGGCCTTTGACGTTCCAGTCTTTCCTCTCACAGCCTGTCTGCTGACTGGAGTCGCCCCGAAGATGGCGATACTCGATCGGCTTATGTCATATCTGCTGCCTCCGTCTATGCTCAGGAGGTAACCGGGCCCATGTCCACACTGACACTCTCCCTTCTCCCTGAGCCTCCTTTTCCCGTGTAAGTGCAAACCGAGCCTCTTGCTGTCCTTTTGAGCTATTGACCAGCTTCTCTTTGGAAGGCAGGGAGATGGCTTCAGGACTTCCAGTGAGGTGGCTGGGCCCCAAACCTTGACTTGGTTTCCACACAAGGGAAGGGGAGGGGAGGAACGGGAAGAAGAGGTCAAGGGCAACTCTTTCAACCCTTTCTAACACTATCTGCTGTTCTGTTTCTAGGCCTGACCTGCTCCTTTGCCATCGCTGCCTGCAGACAGAGCCTGCATGTTGTCATATTTACTCCACGGTGCCCCATCTGTCCCAGACACTTGGGAGTTCCAGCTGGAAGTGTTGAGGGGTGGGGGGTGGGGGGAGCCACGAGAACCTTACTGTTCGAAATTGTACATAATGGTTATTTATAGCCTACCATTTTCTCTCCCTATCACACCAGAAACATCTATAAAGGCTCTTCTTTTGATCAATTTTGACTCATCCATTTGTGATGCTTTTGGTGTTGGGATTAAGGGGACAGATTTTGTTTCCTTAAAAGATAAGTTCCCAAACTCATTTGGCCCCCTTTTCAGGCGGAAAAAAAGGTTCAGTGCCTCCCACCCTCCCATTAAAAAATTGTACTCTAGTACATATACATCGAATCCAGGATAAAGTGTCACTTTTGGTATCACAGTGGGTCACACGTTGGGCTGCTAACTGCAAGGTTAGCACTTGGAAACCACCAGCCGCTCTGGAGGAAAGACGAGGCTTTCTACTCCCATAGAGTTACAGTCTTGGAACCCCACAGGGGTATGTTCTTTAGGGTCCATATGGTTCAGAATCGACTTGACGGCACTGAGTTTTTTACTCCCACCAAAAATTATGTTACCAGGACTCCTGGCGTGTGTGACTTTTGGTGTGCTCGCTCTCTTGTTCCTGACGATCCGTTAACCCTCAAGCGCTCCACAAATAGTCGATGAGCTCCACTGTAGCCTGCCTTGTTCTGGGAGCTGGGGACGGAGCAGTGAGTGACAAAGACGGATCCTGCCTCCCATGATCCCCTGGTTGGACTGGCCCCTCTTCAAGGTGGCAGTGGGCTAGGACCATTTGTGTCTGAATCCCAGCTCTTGTACTGTGGGCAGGTGCCAGGCACTAGACCCCAAGGACTCAAACTCACTGCTGCCCCGTTGGTTCAATTGGGTGTCCCGGGCTCAGTCTTTCCAGGAGCAGGCAGCCTCATCTCTCTTGGCCAGGTGACCAGCTCACCTTGCTGATGGCATCACATCCCGGCTTCATGATATAGATGTTGGTTTCCTGTTGTTAGAATTACTAGTTGCTAGGTCACTCCATTGGCCCCACTTCTTGGAACCGCTCTGTGATTATCTAGTGCCCCACTCTGCTATCCCATGCAGGGGTCCTCAAACTAGAGCCCGGCCCGAGGGCCACATGTGGCCCGCGGAGGACATTTATCCGGGCCGCCGGGTGATTTTGCTCCGTATTGTTTTTTAATTCAAAATAAGGTATGTGCAGTGTGCATAGGAATTTGTTCATAGTTTTTTTTTAAACTATAGCCCGGCCCTCCAACAGGTCTGAGGGACAGTGAACTAGCCCCCTGTTTAAAAGTTTGAGGACCCCTGCAGCATAGCCCAATACCTGCCTCAGACCAGACCCCTCTGCCAAGGCCTCCCCACATTCTGGCCCAGCCCTCTCTGGACTGCATCATGTTTGGTGCCGGAACCAGGAATCCCCCCCCCCCCAATAATTGTATTGAGATGTTAACATACCATATACTGCCATAGTTCAGTCATTTAAAGAGTTGTGTGTATATCATCATCATCAGTTCTAGAGCATCCCCCCTCCCCCGTATTCATTACTTGCTCTCCACTTCCCTCTGCTACCCCCATAAGCCATTATATCAGGTATTATCTCTAGATATCCACTCATCCATCCATCCCATGCTTAATATGTTGGAAAACATACAGAAAAATGAAAACTGAAAAGAGTCACAATATTCAAATATACCAGAGGGGAAAACCCTCATGATAAAAAACAGAAAATAATGAAAACTAGAACAAATCCAAAATGGGTCAAAAGGAGGTCAAATGCCACATACCACATTTTAATCTAATTCCATGCGTCGTAACCGAGTTTATAATAGTCTCTGACAGAAGATTATCATGTCCCTCCACTGTGGTCCACAGGGATCCTGCAGGTGGATTTAGGTCTCTCAAGGAATTTTTGCTAATAGGCATAGGACCAGATAGATATTGTGGATACACAAATATTAACGATGGCAGTAGGAAACACTGGGGCAAGGTGTGTGTTTCCTACTCCGGTGGGGGCCTGGGGGCAGGTTACAAGCTCAGCTCCCTGGACTCAACAAGACAGGGTAGAACTACCCCCTGTGGGTTTCCAGGGCTGTAACTTTATTTTTTAACAGTTTTATTGGCACATGATTTACATATCCTACATCTCAATAATTCAATCCTATCCAGATGAATTGTACAGTCATTAACCATATCAATTTTAGAACACTCCCATGGTTAAATCGCCCCCAAAATGAGTTGTGCAATCATCACATGTTCTGGTGCTTCCTCCCCACGCCTGCCTTCATGTTTTATTCCCAAAATACCCTTTCCCTCCTTATCACGCACCCCTCAAGCTGTAACGCTTCATAAGAATAAAACGCCTCATCTTTTCCCCTACAAAACAGCTGGTGGTTTCAAACTGCTAACCTTATGGTCAGCAGCCCAACATAGCCCACTACCCCACAGGGCTCCGTAGGGGTGGGAAGAGGAAGTTAAGGGTTGTGAATTTTAAAGGCCAGACCACCTGCTCTGAGCGTGTGCAGAGTGTAACAGAGCCCCCTGCGACCATGTTCCATTTCAGAACGCTGGTGTAACGTTCCCTGGCCCAGGAAGGAGGGCAGGGCTGGAACCCCCATCCTGATATACCCCGGCCTCCACTGCCCTCATGAACCACCAGGCCAGGGCCCCAACCCCTAACCCAGTCAGGGCCCAGGC